AAATGCAGTTTTTGGCTCATATCTCTGAAACCAAAGTATTTAGAGCAAATCTGACGAGGATAAAATTGTTCATTAGGTCAAGATCTATCTGCCCTGAAATTTTCAGACCAATCAGGCAACACGTTGTTGGGTTGCTGCCCCTGAATTGGTAATTTTAAGAAAATTTTGCAGCTTTTGGTTATTATCTTGAATATTATTATAGATAGAGATAAACTGTAAACAGCAATAATGTACAGCTAAGTAAGATCTACAAATAAGTCAACATGACGAAAATTGTCAATTGACCCCTTAAGGAGTTATTGCTCTTTATATTCAATTTTTTACAATTTTCATAAATTTTGTAAATTTTTGTAAATTTTTACAAAATATTTTCCACTGTAACTACTGGGCCAAGTTCATTATAGATAGAGATAATTGTAAGCAGCAAGAATGTTCAGTAAAGGAAGATCTACAAACACATCACCATCACCAAAACACAATTTTGTCATGAATCCATCTATGTCCTTTGTTTAATATGCACATAGACCAAGGTGAGCGACACAGGCTCTTTAGAGCCTCTAGTTTCTTCATGCTTGAAGATATTGATTTGATATACATGTATGGTGTATTGTTCTATCATGACAAGTTTCAGATCAAGTTCGAATTTTGTTCCGGTCTGATGATTTTGTGCAGAGTTATGGTCCTTTGACTTAGAAAAATCACTAAAAATAATCAGCTTTCCGCACTCTTTTTAGCTCACCTGGCCCAAAGGGCCAAGTGAGCTTTTCTCATCACTTGGCGTCCGTCGTCGTTGTCGTCCGTCGTCGTTAGCTTTTTACAAAAATCTTCTCCTCTAAAACCACTGGGCCAAATTTAATCAAACTAGGCCACAATCATCATTACGGTATCTAGTTTAAAAAATGTGTCCGATGACCCCGCCAACCAACCAAGATGGCCGCCATGGCTAAAAATAGAACATAGGGGTAAAATGTAGATTTTGGCTTATATCTCTGAAACCAAAGCATTAAGAGTAAATCTGACAAAGGGTAAAACTGATTATCAGGTCAAGATCTATCTGCCCTGAAATTTTCAGACAAATCTGACAACCTGTTGTTGGGTTGCTGCCCCTGAATTGGTAATTTTAAGGAAATTTTGCAGTTTTTGGTTATTATCTTGAATATTATTATAGATAGAGATAAACTGTAAACAGCAATAATGTTCAGCAAAGTAAGATCTACAAATAAGTTGCCATGACAAAAATTGTCAGTCGACCCCTTTAGGAGTTATTGCCCTTAATAGTCAATTTTTAACAATTTTTCGTAAATTTTTGTAATCTTTTACAAAAAACTTCTACTCTGAAACTAATGAGACAAATTAAACCATACTTGGCCATAATCATAATTATGGTATCTGTTTTGAAAAATTTGTCCGATGACCCCGCCTTCCAACCATCATGGCCAACTTGGCTAAAAATAGAACATAGGGGTAAAATGCAGTTTTTGGTTTATATCTCTGAAACTAAAGCATTTAGAGCAAATCTGACAGGTGGCAAAAATGTTCATGAGATTTAGATTTATCTGTCCTGAAATTTTCAGACGAATCCGACAACCCGTTGTTGGGTTGCTGCCCCTGAGTTAGTAATTTTTACAAAAATTTTGCAGTTTTTTGTTATTATCTTAGATATCATTATGATATCTAATAACTAATACTATTAATTATGATTTTAACCTTAATTTACATGATTTCCAAAGCATCAGTAAATACAGGTGAGCGACACAGGCTCTTGAGAGCCTCTAGTTTGTCATTCTTGAAGATATTGATTTGATAATTGGCATATAGTTTTATCATAACAAGTTACAGTATAAGTTCTAATTTTGTTCCGGTCTGATGATTTTGTGCAGAGTTATGGTCCTTTGACTTAGAAAATTCACTCAAATAAATCAGCTTAGACAATGGGGGTACATACTTGACTTATTCCAAAGTTTTTATTTTATTGAATACTTATGTACTTACTTTATTTTTTCTCGTCCGAGTATGTACGGTAGTTTGATCAGCCTTGCCTTTATTCCCCACTGAAGTTTTTTTTCTTGTCTACGAGCATTTAAAGGTGAATGTATTGTCATGATTTATTATACTGTTTATACTACATTTGTACATTTATATTGCCATTATAATTTGAAAGTTTTTGCTTGAATAATAGGAATTGAACATTTTTGAACCCAGATTATTTATTGATATATAGAAGTGACTATTTAATAGTATTAGACAATTGTGGATGGAGTTATATATTGTAATGGACTATTTTGATATCTTTTTCCTGAAACCTTTCCAGATTGTTTGGATTCTTTCTAATCATGTTTTGTGACTGTTTATGACCTACATTTTGATTTGATAATTTTTATACGACCGCAAAAAATTTTTGAGGTCGTATATTGGTATGACGTTGGCGTTGTCGTCCGAAGACACATTGGTTTTCGCACAATAACTTTAGTTGAAGTGAATGGATCTCTATCAAATTTTACCATAAGGTTCAATACCACAAAAGGAAGGTTGGGATTGATTTTGGGGGTTATGGTACCAACAGTTAGGGAATTAGGGGCCAAAAAAGGGCCCAAATAAGCATTTTTCTAGTTTCCAGACAATAACTTGTGGAACAGTGTATGAATCTCTCTGAAATTATACCACAAGTTTCCATACCACAAAAGAATGGCAAGGATTGACTTTGGGGGGTAATGCTCAAACCGTTTAGGAATTAGGGGCAAAAAAGGGAGAAAAACAAGGGTTTCCTGGTTAATGGACAATTTAAAAGCAGTGTAACGGAGGTAATCAAAATACATTTAAAGTATTTTAAAAAAAAATTTGATTACCTCCCTTACATTGCTTTTAAATTATGTATAAAGATGTTGTATTGTCTTGAGGTGATTAGCTGTCAATTAATTTTTAGAAGTTACTATTAAAGGACTATTAATTTTAGCCATGATTATGTATGTCATTTTCTATTTTAAGACTTTTATGATGTATTTAAATTGGTAATTATGGTTGCAAACTCCATTTGAAATTTGAATTGAGATTATGACCATATCTTGTGGGAATGAATTTTTTTTTTGGAAAAAAAGGGGGGGAGGTGGGAAAAAAATTGGGGGGGGAATAAATTGTGGAGGGGAGGGGGACAATTTTTTCTCATTTCAGATTTCAGAAAATAAAAAGAAAATTTCTTCAGATATTTTTTTTTTGTAAAGTAAAGGAGGGGAGGGGGGGGGTCAATACGCAACAACATGGTGTATTGCACAAAAGCAAAAAATTGAATATAAATTCAAATCACATAACCAATTCTAAGTTTTTTGACTACAGTTATTCTGTGTCAGAAACCTATTATGTGTCAAATATTTAATTACAATCCAAATTCAGACCTGTATCAAGCGCGAATATTTTGTCCATTTTTGACCCAACCTCTGCGGTTGTATCCAGCTGCGCTCAGCAAAGCATTTTATTGCTTGAGTTACGGAATTTGACTACTGTAAACTCAGAAATTATTGCGTGCATTTATTATGATTTTTGTACGAAAATAAGAGATTAATTTTTGCAATTTCAGGGAAAACTTTATACAGATATATGTATCAGATATCAGAATCAGGTTCTTATTATTGCGATACTCACCCAGTCACATTATTTGCAATCAATGAAAACTCAGCAATAATTTCTGAATTTATAGTATTTTGGCCTGTTTCATAACTTATAAAGACTAGTCCTCAAGACATTCCCCCATCCCCAAAGATTTCATACTCTGTCAGGATGTTTTTCATTATGTATAGTTGCCCATATTCTGTATATTCATTTGTTCTGTATATTCATTGTTATTTTTTTGGTATTTTGCAGATAGATAGATTTTGTTTTATCTTTCACACTGTGCTTTATGAGGTCTCCTAATCTCTTCATTTGTTTTTGCTCATTGTTTACATTCAAAAGTGAGTTTATATGTTTGATTTTTTATGCCCCTACCGTAGCGGAGGGGGCATTAAGTTTTACCCTTGTCCGTCCGTACCTCCCAAAGTTGGTGTCCGTTCTCTAACTTTAGTTTGCCTCAACCAAATGTTATGAAACTTATTCACAATGCTTATTACCACAAAACACAGATCAATTTTGAAATTTTGGTGTGTCACTTTAACCTTTCTAGAGTTATGCCCCTTTACAAATGGAAAAATTGGTGAATTTTTCGTTTCCGTTCTCTAACTTTAGTTTGCCTCAACCAAATGTTATGAAACTTATACACAATGCTTGTTACCACAAAATACAGATCAAGTTTGAATTTTTGTGGCGTCACTTTTACTGTTCTAGAGTTATGCCCCTTTAAAAATGGAAAAATTGCTAAATTTTTTGTTTCTGTTCTCTAACTTAAGTATGCCTCAACCAAATGTTATGAAAAATATACACAATGCTTATTACCACAAAACACAGATCAAGTTTGATTTTTGGTGGTGTCACTTTTACTGTTTTAGAGTTATGCCCCTTTACAAAAGGAAAAATTGCTGAACTTTTTGTTTCCATTCCCTAATTTAAGTTTGCCTCAACCAAATGTTATGAAACTTATACACAATGCTAATTACCACAAAACACAGATCAACTTCAAATTTTGGTGGCATCACTTTTGCTGTTCTAGAGTTATGCCCTCCTTAAATGGAAAAATTGCTGAATTTTTCGGTTCAGTTCTCTTCCTCTATTAGTTTGCCTCAACCAAATGTTATGAAACGTATACACAATGCTTATTACCACAAAACTCAGATCAAGTTCAAATTTGGGTAATATCACTTTTACAGTTCTTGAGTTATATCCCTTTATAACATTATATGCAAGCGGGGGCATCATCTGTGTCCCATGGACACATTCCCCATTTATTTATATCTATATTTTAAATTTCATATAATTTTTATCTGATTCAGGTCTTCTTAATATAATTCACTTTTGCTATATATGAATTTTCATTGATGTGTCCTATGCTTGACTGGAAGAACTATTTTGTTAAGATTTCCAGGCCAGAAGCCAGATGTAGTTTTCTCATTAAATGACAAATTGGTGAAGAGTGGGGACACTACACAAAGTCCAAAGGACCACAAAATGGTTTTAACAGGTCTGGGGAATCAGAACTTGGTTGTATTCTCTGAGACCCCACCAATGATAACAGCAGGTAGGTAGTCCATAAACAACGCTCTTTTTTATGGCAAAGTTAATAGCTTTTTAGAGACAAAGAAGCCAATAAAATATGTTAATGGCAGGAATGAATGTGTTAAAACTCTGCAATAAATTTTGAAAAGCTTGAAAAAAGAGGGGCAAAAGATACCAGAGGGACATTCAAACTCATAAATCAAAAATAAACTGACAACACCATGGCTAAAAAAGAAAAAGACAAACAGACAAACAATAGTACACAAAACACAACATAGAAAACTAAAGACTAAGCAACACGAACCCCACCAACCCCACCAAAAATTTGGGGAGATCTCAGGTGCTCCGGAAGGGTAAGCAGATCTTGCTCCACATGAAGCTACATTTGTAAATTGATGAACTATAGGAACAGAAAACTATAGTTTCAATGAAAAATTGATAAGCCACTAGTGTTAGGTCAATGATAGTTGGTATGCAGTTGTATAAGCATTGACATATCTCATTGCCATGGAGATTATTTGGTCCAGCCCCCTCAGTAATGGTCTATTGACCTTGAAACTTTTGCTTAGTTTACATGTATTTGTGATAAGGTCAGTTTATGGGGAACCACTAATGGTATATGTCTATGGCATTTGATATGCATTTGTATCAGCATTGGTACATCTCATTTCCAGGAAAAAAATTTGGACCAGCTCCTCAGTCATGGTTTAATGACTTAATGTTTGCTTAGTTTACATAGATATAAGAAGATGTGGTATGAGTGCCAATGAGACAACTCTCCATCCAAGTCACAATTTGTAAAAGTAAACCATTAAAGGTCAAAGTATGGCCTTCAACACAGAGCCTTGGCTAGTTTTGGTCAGTTTGTGAGGAACCATTAGTAGTAAGTCAGTGATATTTGGTATGCAGCTGTATTAACATTGACAATTCTTATTTCCATGGAGATTATTTGAACCTCCATCTTCAGTCATGGTCCATTGACTTTGAATGTTTTGCATAGTTTACATGTTTATATATGCATATTTTAATTTCAACATTTGCATTTTACTATCAAAATAACAAAAAGTGAGACATATCTCTGTGTCAACAGTTAATAGTAATAAGGTCTGTTTCTCAGATATTATATAAAGCATGATAAGCACTTAGGGAACTATATTTGGTGTATGAAATGATTGTAAAGTAAATGTGTCCTTCTTTCAGTGTTGATCAGACCTTGATAACTTTTTTTCTGAGTCGTTGATAATATCTAGTTTATGTGATATCTGTGAGAGTTGCAACAGAAATTTAATTATAATCAGAATAGAGATGAGACATTTCAGCATGTGCATTCTTGTTTTATTGCAAATCTGATATGTGTTGATAAAGAAATTGGTACTTCAGAAGTGTAGCAACTTGATTACAGTGTTTTTTGGAAATGAAAACATATCTTAATATTGATTTGACCATAGGCGACCTTCTTTATTCCCTAAGTTGAACTGTGAGGAAAATTATAGTGGTTGAGTATGTTTCCATAAATTATCAACCGTGACCAATCTAACATTTAATAAATTTAGTTAACTGAAGATTATACTAATTGTGAGATTTATCAGTGGCATAGAATATGCTGAATGGAATAAAATTTGAATTTAGTTCATAAGTTATTGTTTTTGTCATTTAAAAATCCTTCAGACATCATAGGATTTTTACATTATTAAAACAGTTGTTCAGACTACATGAAGATTGAGATTTGATATATTTGTTACAGGGCCAGAACATTGTCAAGTCAATGACCAGATATTGAAAGTTGGTGTCTTACTAAATTGGGATAAGATGTGTTTCTGTTCAATCAGTGCTTTTTATAAAATTTCTTTAAAACAGACTTTTCACACACAAAGTATATTTGATACTGTAAATTCAGAAATTATGGCGATTTTTGAAGAATGGACAAAATGGTGAGATTAATTATTGTGATTTCACTGAAATCTGCATACAGATATATGTGTCAGATATCAGAATGCGAGTTCTTCTTATTGCGATACTCACCCAGTTGCATTATACGCATTAATAAAAACCTCGCAATAATTTCTGAATTTACAGTACCGGTATATTAAATACATTCTGTACAATTGCTGTTGTTAGATGAATAAAAAGTGTTTATTTGTTTGTAGATTCTGGTGCTAAACCTGACCATTTAGTTGGTAAGTGTCAATAACAAAATACATACCTGTTAAGCTGATCATTTAATTGGTAAGTGTCAATACCAAATTACATACCTGTTAAGCTGATCATTTAATCGGTAAGTGTCAATACCAAAGTACATACCTGATAAGCTGATCATTTTTATTTGTAAGTGTCAATACCAAATTACATACCTGTTAAGCTGATCATTTAATTGGTAAGCGTCAATACCAAAGTACATACCTGATAAGCTGATCATTTTTATTGGTAAGTGTCAATACCAAAGTACATACCTGTTAAGCTGATAATTTAATTGGTAAGTGTCAATACCAAAGTACATACCTGATAAGCTGATCATTTTTATTGGTAAGTGTCAATACCAAAGTACATACCTGTTAAGCTGATCATTTAATTGGTAAGTGTCAATACCAAAGTACATACCTGATAAGCTGATCATTTTTATTGGTAAGTGTCAATACCAAAGTACATACCTGTATACATGGTATACCTGATCATTTAATTGGTAAATTAAAAAAAATCAATTTCCAGCTTGTTTTTTCTCAGAAACAAGCTTGATAATCTTTGTTTTATTTTCTTATTTCAAAGATCTTACCTTGTCCTACAACATCAAAGTTCAAATGAAGTGGATGTAAGTAATTATAGGCCTTTGATCCTTGATTTACAGATTGTTCACAAGATATTTGTATTACCAGTATTATGATTTTTGAAATTTGTTTTATTACAGATAAATTAGGAATTGAGGGGAAAGTTATTCAGCGGGCTGAGTGTCGACCTATAGCAGATAACAACTACCTCAAATTAAAAAGGTATATTTCTTTTGAGTTATTTGTGTAGATTATCGGGTTTTCTACATGTTGATTTCTTAAAATATCAGCCGCAATTCATAATGTGAACCTTTTTGGCGATTGAATGCAGTGAACGAGTAATAAAGTTTCTAATTGTGTAGAGTGGCTGATATTATACGATATCTATACGTAGAAAACCTGATAATCTGTTTATCATTCTATTACTATTACTGGTCTTTTTCCCCTCCCTTAGACAGTTTTATGCTTGAAGATAGGAAACTTGATAACGTCTCCTCACACATTATGACGTCGCTGATAACTTCTCAGACATTGTGACATCACTGATAATGTCTGTTCATGTCTCAAAGCCGTGATACATGATACAACAGTTTGTTTTCAAGGGGTTAAGCAATTGGTGAATAAATGTTTTGGAGAAATACAACAGTTTGTTGTTGAGGTGTTATGCAATGTGAATCAATGTTAATGAGAGATACAACAATTTGTATTTAAGGGGTTAAGCAATTTGAATCAATGTATGGAAGGGATACAACATTTTGTTGTTGAGGGGTCAACCAAAAGTTTATATGTGGTTTTTGCAATTTAGTGAATTTTTTATTAACTTCCCTATTTATTATACATTTTTACTGAATAAGAATATAGTTTATATCTACCTTTACATAAATAGTATACCAAGTAATAAACAGGGTTGCCACTAGTCCTTGGAAACAACAAAAAGACTTGAATTCACGAAAATGATGGAAAAACCCTTGAATTTCTAGCATACAGTAGCACGTTTCGAAATTCAAGTTATTTTCTTCTTGCAACACTGTGTTACACAAAATCCATTTAAGAATTAGTTTTCAATTTTTTGAAACGTTTGTAAAAGGCAAGATTGTTTTGCCATGATTTTAGCATTATCCTTTCAACTTCACTTTCCGCTGTATAGATGATGTCCTTTCACTAAATGATTCAAAGTTTGGTGACTATGTTGAATGCATCTATCCCATCGAACTTGAGATAAAGGATACAACAGATACAGTTAAGTCTGCCTCATATCTTGACTAACATCTAGAAATTGAAAATGAGGGTCTATTGTAAACAAAACTTTGCAACAAAAGAGATGATTTCAGTTTCCCAAATGTGGACTTTCCATTTCTATGTAGCAACACTCCAGCAACATGTGTATGGAGTATATATCTCCCAGTTGATACAATATTCTAGGGCTTGTATTTCCTATCATAATTTCTTTGATAGAGGGTTGCTTCTCACAAGGAAGCTACTAAAGCAAGAGTTCCAAGTAGCTATAGTGAAGTTGAAATCATCCCTTCTTAAATTTTACCTGGCGCCATCACATGCTAGTTAGCTGTTATGGAATATTTGTTTCACAGATGACAATAGTTTATATGTTCCAATACCTCTTTTCCCCGAATGTGACCTACGGAATTAGACTTTTCATAGGGTTAGTACTTACACGATTGGTGCCACATGTGGAGCAGGATCTGCTTACCCTTCCGGAGCACCTGAGATCACCCCTGGTTTTTGGTGGGGTTCATGTTGCTCAGTCTTTAGTTTTCTATGTTGTGTTTTGTGTACTTTGTTTATCTTTTGGTCTTTTTCTTTTTTTTGCCATGGTGTTGTCAGTTTATTTTCGACTTATGAGTTTGAATGTCCCTTTGGTATATTTCGCCCCTGTTTTAAGCACTAAGTAACTGAGCTTTAGAGTGCTTGTTTTTTTTTCGTAACTGTTCCCAATTTTAATGTCTTACAGTTGAAAATAGAAGAATGTCCAGGAGAATTGTGAAAAAAACCTGGAATTTCTTTCAATGCTAAAAAAGTGGGAACCCTGAAAATTAATTTTTCAAATAAAAGATTTCTCATCAATTTTTGGAATAACATTAATACAGGCTCATTTGTTATTCAAACACAACTATGCCACACAGACTTAGATGACTCATTATTCAAGTATTTTACTTAATCTATACATATTTTGTTTTTGTTAATGAGTGAATTTTGAAAGTTTATTAAATCTTGAATATATGAATAATCCAATCGGAAGTGGAATGATAAGCAACTTCTATTATTTGATAGGTTTTGAGTAAAGTGCATAAGCCTTAACATGCGTTAGTTTAAATGGTGTACCTGAATTCATGATTTATATAAACTAACATATTTTCGTGATTTACTTCAAAATAGTTCTGCTGTAAGTAGATACAAATAACACTTTTATAAAATTATTTGAATATACTGAAATAAGTTTTTGTGTGACATTTTGTTTTTGACTTAACAACAAATTAACTGTTATATCCATACTATGATTTTTGTGTAAACAGTTGTTAGCAGAAAAAAGTGTGAATTATTTATGGCTAAGATGACCTTTTGATGACCATGTAAAAGAGATGTAGACAATTCAATACAACTTTTACACCTACAGTGCATGGCCAAAAATATTTTGCCATATTTTTCATATAAAAGTACATATTTTAAAGATATTTATTATTTGAATTTTACAAACAAGGTGTTAAAAGATGCAAAATTGTTTAAAGTATATTTATTTATTTTCTGCTCTTTGATTGGGTTGTTGTCTCTTTGACACATTCCCCGTTTCCATTCTCTATCCTATTGTTTATTTGGTCATAGTTATGTCATCAATAATTTTTGTTTTCCCTTAATATGAACATGTACAATATTTTTTACATTAAATTTGGTTGAAATATATAACATGTATGAATATAAAATAATACTTCTGTTTATATCATCAGAAATAAAAGAACAACTCTCCACAACAAAAATAAATCCAAATCGCAACTAAGTCTGTGACAATTCTGCTTCTATTGGTACCATGTTGATTAAAATCTGACCAGAAATTTCCCCACAATATATTTTGAAAAAATGTAGTTTTATATGAAATATATAGTGAAAAATCACAAGTGACAAATACTTGTGGCCATTTACTGTACTATTAAAGAACCTTTACATTTCTTATAGTTGATTTCAGATGAATTTTCACATGGAACAAATTTAATCTTATAACTTTAGTCAGATATCTTCCCCTACAATATTATGATTATGAATAACCTTTTATTCCCTGAAAAAATTGTAATTGTCTCCCTTAGATAACATACTTAGAAGTAGCACTTCTGTAAATGTAGACAAACCAATTTCCCATAGGAACTCCTTTTTAAGGTTGAAACTGTGCGAATTTTATCTCACCGTCGACTGAAGTCACAGAATGCTAGACATGGGGATTAAATTCTGGTGGCAGCAACAACATAGTATACTATTTATATAAAGCTTTATATTTCAGAAGCTAGAAGACCTGGATGTTTCATAACTTGTATGCAGATGTTTCAAAGTTTCCTTCTGTCATACATCCATTGTCCTTGACCTCATTTTCATGGTTCAGTGACTGCTTGAAAAAAAAAAAACTGTTTTTACCCTTGTCAGTCTGTACGTCCATACGTGAGTCTGTACGTCCCAAAGTAGGTTTCCATTCTCTAACTTTATTTGCCTCAACCAAATCTTATGAAACTTATACACAATGCTTATTACCACAAAACACAGATCAAGTTTGAATTTTGTTGGCGTCACAATAACCGTTCTAGAGTTATGCCCCTTTACAAATGGAAAAATTGCTAAATTTTTCGTTTCCGTTTTCTAACTTTAGTTTGCATCAACCAAATGTTATAAAACATATACACAATGCTTATTACCACATAATACAGATCAAGTTCGAAATTGGGTGGCGTCACTTTTACAATTCTTGAGTAATGCCCCTTTATAAACATAAAAGCTGCTGAATTTTTCGTTTCCGTTCTCCAACATCAGTTTACCTCAACCAAATGTTATGAAGCTTATACACAATGCTTATTACCACAAAATACAGATCAAGTTTGAATTTGGTGGCATCACTTTTACTGTTCTAGAGTTATTCCCCTTTACAAATGGAAAAATTGCTGAATTTTTCGTTTCCGTTTTCTAACTTTAGTTTGCCTCAACCAAATGTTATGAAACATATACACAATGCTTATTACCACATAATACAGATCAAGTTCGAAATTGGGTGGCATCACTTCTACAATTCTTGAGTTATGCCCCTTTAAAAACATAAAAACGAGGGATGTCAACGAGTACTCAAGTATCGCTCGGTAGTACCAAGTATCGAATACCAAAATGATACTTGACTAATCGTTTTTTTTTTGTTAGAATGTTGTTGCCTTCTTAAAGATTTTTTTTTTTATTAAGAGCGCCTCCCGGGAAATTAAATATCAATCAAAATAATAATACGCTTCGAATGTTTGTTTTTGGGTGGCATCACTTGTACCTTTCTTGAGTTATGCCCCTTTATAAACATAAAAATTGCTGAACTTTTGTTTCTGTTCTCTTACTTAAGTTAGCCTCAACCAAATGTTATGAGACTTATTATTAACACAACACTTATTACCACAAAACTCAGATCAAGTACAAATTTGGGTAGTGTCACTTTTACTGTTCTTAAGTTATGTCCCTTTATAACTTTATATGATATGCTAGCGGGGGCATCATCTGTGTCCCATGTACACATTCCCCATTTACTTTTAAGTGAAATACTCTCTTATTATGAGAACTTGGATAACTATATTTGGTATATAGGTTCCTTGCACGGTCTACATATGTCAGATAGGGTTCACCTGACCTCACCCTCATTTCATGGATCAGTGATCAAGGTTAAAGTTATGTGGTCAAGTCCGTATATCAGATACTATAAGCAGTAGGTCAACTATATTTGTTGCAAGGAATGATTGTAATGTGTACATGGCAGACTGGCAAGTTTCATCTGACCTTGACCTCAATTTCATGGTTCATTGGACAGTGTTTAGTTTTTGTGGTTAGATACTTTAAGCAAAAGGTCAAGTATATTTGGGGAATGGAATAATTGTAAGGTGTACATGTCTGTCTGGCAGGTTTCATATGACCTTGACTTCATTTTCATGGTTGATTGGTCAATGATTGTTATTTTTTGGTTTATAGTTTTATCAGTTACT